ATGCGCTCGGAGTTGGAAGAGAAATCTGTAATGGATGGTGATGGACAAAGAAACTCACAACACAAACGCCATTGGGGCAGGCTCCATGCCATATCAGCAAACGTGTCCAATCAAACGTGTTCATCGTCCTGAGGACTCCAACCAGGCAATCGGGATGCACAACCGAGTCCAACTTCGAAGTGAGGGTTTTCATCGCTCGCGACAAAGTCATCGCTTGGCCTCCCATCCTCCTCTTCCAACCGCACCCCCGGTGCGCAACCAATGCACATCGCGGAAGTCAGTGTGCTGGCATGCGCAACACGTGGCTCAGCCATCGGAGCCTGGTGCGTGATATAATGGTGCTGAGCGGTTCACTCGCTCTTCCTGCACCAAATACGCGACGCCGAACACGCTCATTGCTCACGCGGTGCTCCCACTAGACATGAGCTAAGCTGCGAAGGCAGCGATGATCGAATATGACGAGCCTCTTTATGTCTGTCGACCTGATGGGCCAGGTTTCACAACCATATAGGAGAGTTGAACGGACGGCTACGTTATAAACTCTGCCCTTCAGGGCGAGAGTAATGTCGCGTCTGCGCCACAGGTGGCGGAGATTGGCAAAAGCACCTCGAGCTTTTGCTATACGGTTCGTAACCTCATCTTTGATCCCACGGGCGCTAATATAGCTGCCCAGGTACTTGAATTCCTGAACGACTTCTAGCTTATCACCACAAAGCGTTAGCGCAGCAGTGGGTCCTTGCCAATCTTGGAGAAGTACTTTGCATTTCGATGGAGCAAAGCATAGCCCAAAACGATTGACAGCCAGTGCTAATCGGTCCAGTGCTGCTTGGCATATTTGGGAGCTGTCACAGATTAGGGCAATATCGTCCGCATACTCTAAGTCAAGAAGCCGCTCACCAGAAAGTAACTTTCCGCCTTCTACGTCGTGTCCAGCGAATGCTGTTGCCATGACTTCGTCAAATGCGAAGTCAAATAGGAAAGGTGACAGCGGGCAACATTGTCTCACACAGCTGAAAATATTGAAGGGCGGGCAACAGCTTGCCATAAACCCTCACTCTGCCAGAAATATACGTGTACAAGGCTATGATAATGTTTACGTATCTATTGTGCACACCTTTTCTAAGCAGACAGTCATAAAGAGCACATCGCTCAACCGAATCGAAGGCACCTTGATATCGAGAAACACAACAAAGGTTGGTTGCCAATAAACATGGCGGTGCTCCAACAACTGACGCAAGGTGAAGATGTTGTCGATGCAGCAGCGACCTCGACGAAATCCGGCTTGCTCTTCACGAAGCTAGCTTTCACGAGTGCCAGTCAGTCTGTGGAGAATGACAGACGCAAGCAATTTAAAGGCAATTGAAATCAAACTGATCCCTTTAGGATTGCCGCATTCCGAACGGGAGCCTCCCTTGAAAATTGGGACTATGACGGAGCGGCTCCAGTCTGTTGGGACAGTTTCCTGCACCCAAGATTCCACTAGCAACGTGTAAATTATCTACTAGAGCAGGTCCCACGAATTTGAAGAGGGCAGGGGGATTCTACCTGCTCCTGAAGCCTTATGCAATTTCAAAAGCCTGATCTCACGTTTGACTTCTGCGCGTGAGGGCGGATCCAAGGAGACGGCACAGGGAGAAGGGCGTTCAAGGCCCGAAAAAGAAACCGATAACTCAGGTTGGTTAAACTGCTTTGCAAAGTGTTCGGCCCAACGCTCTAAGAGTTTTACCAGGTTCTGGATTGGCTGTCCACCCTCGTTACGTATTGGATCGCTAACATCAGGTCTCCTGCTGCCTGTTTCCCGTATCAGACGGAATAACTTACGATGATTACCAACGGCAGCGGCTGTTTCCATTTCCGATGAACGATGAGACCACCAGGCTTCGCGGTCTCTCTTCGGGATAGCACGCAGTTTTGCGCTGATTTTTGCGAGTCCCATTTATTCGCTTCCAGCCGGAATATGTCGGTGAGCATCTATAAGTTACAGAGACATTGTAGAGACCCAATGTCTAGGTTGGCAATTTGAGTTGCCACATGAAGACATGCCTGCTGATAGTAACGTTTGGCGAATAGGCAACCAGTGATCTTCGACGGTGTTCAGTGGGCGCTTACTCAGCCTGGATGCTAGCGTACTTTGATACAAATTCAGAACACCTGGCTTCGCCAGCTGACTGGTGTCAATGAAATCAGAGCAACGTTACGGGCGTCCGCCGAAACGCACCCGAAAGTCAGCACACACAAGAGCGTGATCGGAGTCCACGCTCGTGCTTCAAATCGAGCGACAGTTTTGGACATAGCCTCTCCAGCGGTAACTGATCCCGATATGATCGATTTGCGTCCACGGCTGGTGCGAGGCTGTTGGGCGCCAATTCACGCTTCCGCGGGTGCTGTGTCGAAAGTTTCTGCTCGCGAGAACGAGACGAGCATCTTCATGCAGGTGTAGCAATTACTCACTGTTACCATTATGGGAGCCTACACCATGTTGGCCGCCCAAATGAAGCTCATCATATGACAAGTTGCCGATATAGGCGTTTAGATCGCCAGCCAACACCACAGTATCCGTGCTTCTTCTGTAACGAAGGAGATCGTGAAGCTGCTGATAGAAATCATCTTTCACCGAAACAGTGCTACAGTTTGTGAAAGCGTAGACAGCAAGGACAAACAGGCACCGTTTGTTCCCGCGCGACTTCGTATCATGGAACGAACCAGCTATGCTAACGGCGCACATCCAACTGTTGACTGGGATCCAATCAATCAGGGCAGCTTCAGCCCATGGGCTCAAAACAATGCCAATGCCAGTTTGAAGGGCATTTGAAGCTGCATCATCGCCAGACAGGCTCAATGAGAATGTGCCGCCAGTGTCGCATGTAGGGAATCGCAGGGTAACCAGGGAGCTCGAATCTTGCAGGCGGGTTTACGATAAGCAACAAATATCGATCGATAGGGTCTCTAGTGTGCGGGAAGTGCTGCCTGTTGGTCAATCTGCAGCTAGTTGCGCACGTTGAGGCATGCCAGTCTTAGCGAGACTCGAGTACTCCAAAGGGAAACGGATGAACTGACGTTGTCCGCTTGGTTGAACATGGACATGTCGACTGGATCGGAACGAAGCCCTGCGACTGTGTGTGAGCGGAAACTAGAAGACAAGCGAATATCGAAGCAAGGTGGAGGAGGGCCAAGAATTGGGTGATGGAAAAGGAAGGGATAAAAAGGAAGTGGGAGCGGGACGATAAGGATGAAGAAGCGCAACCATGGGGATAAGAAGACGGAGGGCCTAAGCAGTAGCATCCAAACCTCTATCCACCCTGCTCGATGCGGCAGATAGGGCACTGCTGATTATTATTTGCAAGGAACAAAGCATCAAGAGATTGTCTGAAGGAAAAGTCATGGTGTATTACATGGGCAGGATACTGTCAGGTTGTTCAGGCATAGACAGGAGAACGATTAGGGTTTTCAACCAAAGCTTTTGGTTCAAAAACCTTACCGCAAGGCAGCGGGTTTTGGCATTGGAGTATAGAGAGACCATTTAATGGAGTAAGGAGCCACCCTCACTCCAGCCCCCAACCTGGAGAGCCGGGAGACTGAGTTTGTCTACCCTCTAACCAATGAACAATCTGGTATGAGTGGTTCTGAAGGTGCAAAAAAGTACCACCTAGCATAGCTCAATGGATCATTGAGGTACACAAAACCATCACACCAAGTTAAGGTCCAGTCTCATGGCGATGGGCAAAGATCATTCACTAAATGTTTGTTCAATAAATCGCCCACCTTGAGCTATCAGGAGCGTTGCTAGCAGCTTATCATCGAGCCCATTTGGTTGCGACGACTGAAACATAACCTGATGCTTATACGCAAATCTCATAAATCAAATATGTGCACATTAGAATTGCAACAACTTCACATGGAAACTTAGCAAAAAGAAATTGTAAACTAATCGTGCCAAGAACCGGGACAGCCATTCGATCCAACTTCTTCCTTGCCAGCTACGCTGTCGTGTTGAATAGCCTACCAGCCACTATTAACACCTGTACAAATTCAAGAACATTCTGCATTAATCCTGGAAATTCCCTGAACCAGTGATCGATAGTGACCAATGCTTCAGCATCTGCCAAATCCCTAAATGTGTCCTTCCAGAATGGACCAAGGAATATGTAACCAGTGAGAAGAGATGTGAAACAAAACCCAGCAACAGCAAAAGCCATGTGTGTCAGTGTTTTGATAACACAGACGCTCCAGAATACATATCTCATACATAGGCATGATCATTTTTGTGCTAATGATCTGTCCCTAATTCGTGGACAACCATTAGCACAATCGAGAAATATACGTGTTATTCCTGTGTAATACAACCATACGAGTCAACAAGTTGTGAGCGTAATCAAGTGGGTGCAGAGTCCGGGATCCACAAGCCGCTTCAAAAGATGAGAGGAGCACAATTGTCAGGTGCTTCAAGAGAAGTGACTCGTGTCAAAAGATTGAAAAATCCCGCAGAAGTTGACCACGGTCGATTCGTATAGCAGGTGGATCACGCACAGAGAGCAGCGAAAAAGTCATGTTGGAATTGCAGGCATAGACTGCGATCCATCTAGAAAATGCTGATTAAACGCCCTTGTATTATGAAAAAATAAGCCGAGACACAGACCACATCGCAAACTGCATTCCACTGCTCTGTCTAGGTGCATTTTCAATCATTCGGAAGCATCTCAAGGCTGCTTTATCTGGCAAAACGGACCAACGCTGTTTGTATGGTATTTCTTCGCCATCAACTGAACACAAACGTATCCGTAGCCAATCTCATCCGCACATTGTGGTGTTGTTTTTTGCTCGAAAAAAGATTCGAACAAAATAAACTCTCCTCCCGTCCATCATTTTCATTCATATCAGGCTTATGGTTTTAATCGCCCAAAATCTTCAACAACAAGCCAGGCCCCATGCTGAGTGCTTGTGTGGTTCGGTGAGCTCTGCCACCAGAAGCAACGAAGGGGTATCCAATATATAGACGTGACTCACTCATGCGTGGATTCCCATTCGAGAGGCGTCACGCCGACAGGCACAACACGATAATCGTGCAGAATGTAGTCCTCACTCTTCAAACTTGCATTGTCCGGAAAGAAATCCGTCTCTGTGGGTAAACACGCAGGCGCACAAATGGATTTCCAGTCGACGCCTGCAAAGGGAAGTGTGTATGTGTGAATGTGTTTTTAAGTTGGCTACATCGAAACAGGCGCTCACATTAGTTGCAAGTGTGAAGACGTTGTGACGTCCCGCAGTAGAGGCACAATACAGTAACCTACAACCGTTCATAGTGTGTCGAATTACGCAATGAAACACCACACTGGCAAAAACGAAACACGAAAAGGTCGCGTTGGACGGATGAGATAAGACAGGAGAGTTGCAGTGAAGTGTCGTGTGAACATGGGAAGAGTGGGACTGAATGGTGCTGCGTGATCCCAATACAAAGTGGGGAAAACAGCAAGCCATAAATTCGTGAACCATCTCGTGGGAAACGCGGAACAAATCGACTGAAATTGTAATCGTGATGAAATATTATACCAAGTCTTTCCACCAAGAAGTAGTGACAAGAAACGTCTTGATAACAGTTGAAGTATTAAAGAAAGGGATAATTGATTAAGTAAAAAATTCAGAATTCTTAGCTTGCCCGAATCAATTTGTGATCATCAGCTTTCCGGAACAGTGAGATGGGGAAGCCGGCTCGGAATAGTGAAAACCAGAGTAGAGCAGATGCACCATCAATCCGTAGGTGCCACACGGGTCCATATCGGTGCAGAGGTTTTCCAGGAGTTTCGGCAATCACAAAACGATTAATGTGAGAAGTTAATAAACAGAAACCAATCATACGAGAATAATTTAAGTCAGCGAAGAAACTACGCTTCGGTAATTTTCATCAGGCTTTGGTATAGATGAGACAAGTCAAAGCAATCCAATCGGCTTGCAAAAGCAGAGCTGCTTGGAGCGGTGATTCGGAAGCGCACGCTGTGTGAGAGAATTGTGACATGCTATTCCAGTGAGAACCGTAATTCACTATGAGAGGAATACTGGTCGATTCGGTCATGGGAACCGTATTTGAGGTAGAAAATTTGCCATGAGAATGTAAGCGGCTGATTGAGAATACATGAAACAAATTGCATTCATGATTTCGGAAGGTTTCGAACAGAAACAGGTAGACGCAAAACTTACTCTGTATGCTCAACTGTCCGCTGTTTGATCTATGTGTACGTGTGCACCGTCTTTGTAACTGATTCTGCAGATGTTGTAGTTGGTCCTCCTCTCTTGAGAGCGGATCCTTCAAAGCACCAGTGCGAAACGGAGCGCTTGACCGCTTTGGAAAACCACCCTTATTTTGTCCTTTTTAGAACTCGCCTGATAGCTTCGGAAGTGCCCTCTTTTAAAGGACTCCTACATCCGAATCCACTTCGTCTTGTATCGCGACGGTGGATTTAGGAGTCTCTGCAACTGACGTTTCTCCAACCACCTCGAAAATCCACTATCTATTAATTGGCTTACGGCCTCCTCACGCATGAACTAGCCAGGTATCTGGTGAGTTTGTAGCAATCTCTAACAGAGAGAACAAATACGTTCGTCAGGAACTCTTGTGAGTACAGGTGAAAACTAGCAAGTCTGACCATTGGCATCCGATGAGATAGTAAGCAGTTTCTATGCTAGCTCGCTATTCACTAACGTGCCCAAAAATGACGCGATGTCTGAGTGAAGGTAAGAACCTGGGGGAGAGAACGAACACCACGGTAGACCATATAATTGAACAGTCAGTTGCAGGGAGTCCTAAACACACCTGTGCGACCCACGACGGAGTGGATTTGTTATAGCGGAGGTAAGAATACCCCACCGCTTCCCGTTGTTTTGTCCTACTCATCCTGCCCTCTCTTCCGGGTCCTCGCATACGTCCACTTTTGCCTCACATTTGTGATTAGCTTGTATAGACGCTGAAGCTTACGCTTATTAGCTTCTCTCTTACTTTGTGTATTTCGTTCGTTCGTGAGGCAACTTATCGATCCCCCGCTTTTTGAACTGTCCAGCATTGACTGATGGAATGCCAGTCTTTCCGCATAGCCTGTGTAGATGCCCTAATTTGAATATCGCGATTGAGTTGTACAGACAGACGCTTGGTGGCCGATTTGGCGTGCTGTGTGAACAGCGTTTGTTGCTCGGTCGTTGGTGTTCTCACTACCGTTAGTGGGTGGAAGCAGTCGTGAGGCTCCGACACAACAGGATTCGAACGGTAAGAATCCCCTATAAAGAGGAAACTTCTGAAGCAATCAGGCGAGTACCGGACAAGGAAAACAAGGGTGATTTTGAAAATATGTCGAACGCTTCGCACAGCACTGGTGCATTTGAAGAGAATCAGCTTCAGAGAGAAAGGGCGACCAATTGCACCATCGATAGAATCGGTTGCAAAGACTGTGTACATTTGTACATAGGTCAAACAGCTCAACCACTGGGATAGCAGAACACAGGAGGTACGTTTCGAATCCGACGAAAAACGAGGATGAACATAGTGTTCTACTAAGAGATTCATCGATGTCCGTACACGCTTAGACATTGGACATGAAATCGACTTGGACAATGTCGAGATCCGTAGGAGAGTGGGGAGGAGCAAAAGACCAAAGGCGCTGGAAATCAGCAAGGCTAATAAATGCGTGAACAGAACGGATGAGATGAAGCAACCAAACGCGTGGTGGACTTTGTTAACTCGGCCAGTCTGAACATGCTAGGAGGGTACGGCTTCTCGAGCGCACACCAATGGAGCCCGTGAATCCTGGTCACTCAATAAACTGCAACGAAGACCCGAAGGAATTGAGCTCACGTTCAAAGCAAACTGATGCCCAACTGTCAGATGGCAACACACCAGAAAGATCAACAGACCACTGTTGCTTTCAAATCAACATCCATAAGCGATTGAACAATAGCGAGGGCAGACGGTGCAGTAATTAAACTCACTTCTGGTTCGTTTCGGTGTGGAATAAAACCTGTTTGCCACGTACTCGCCTGCTCGTTCTTTCTTACTGTGTATTGGCCTATTCTCTACGCTAGCAGAGACCGACACAGCAGACCAGGGTCGGTGGACGGACTCAGGTCGGGCTTTGATTTGCACCCTCAAAGTTCAAAGCTTTCCCCTAAAAGTGGCAGGGATCGCCTCTTGCACTGACCCTTAGTGGGAATCAGCTAGAAGTGGTTCTGATATTCAACTAGCCGGGTAGTTGAATTAGCGACTGTGGAATCGAAGACGAGGTCACAAACCATATGGCAAAGGCTCGAGGCGCTTTTGCTGACCTTCGCCACCTATGGCGTCGGCACGACATCATTCTCTTCTTGAAGGATAGAGTATACAGTGCAGCCGTACGTTCGACCATACTGTACGGATGTGAAACCTAGCAGACGTAAAGAGGCTAGCTACGTTAGACTACCGGTGCGTTCGCAGTTTGGCCCATATCTGGTGGGAAGACAGCGTGAGCAATCACCGTGTTCAAAGTCGCGTATTTGGTGCAGAAAGAGCGAGTGAATCGCTCAGCACCGTCATTTCACACACCTGGCTCCGAGGCCTCGGCCACGTGTTATGCATGCCAGCCCACAGACTCCCGCGACGTGCGTTGTTTGCGCGCCGGGGGTGGGGTTGGAAGAGGAGGGGGAGTGGCCAAGCGATGACTTGGTCAAGAGGAATGGAGGCTGTGATTTCGTAGCTGGCCTCGGTTGGCGCCATTCGGCTCCCTGTTTCGCGACCAAAAGACGATGAACACGTTCTGCTAGATACACTAATTGATATGGCAAGGAGCCGAAATCAATGGCGTTTGTTTAATGAGTTTCTTGATCCCTCCCCATCCCGCTTAGCCTCCCCCTGCAATTACGAGCTCATTCCTGAAGCACAAGATAACTTTTTTTTGCAATCTAATAGCCAGCTGCTAGCTCATCGCAACGATGTTCACCCGTTACTGGTGGCTCAGCTGGCGCACCTGTGTTGCGTCATTTTATTACTATTTTTTCTTCTTGTGTACTGCGGCACAATAGCAGAGGTGTTCCAGCCTCTAGCTAAGATACATAATGAAGGAATGGAGGATAGAGCCCATGAGATGGTTGTATACAAAATGTGAAATGAGTGGACCCTTGTGAACCCAAGTTGACATTGTCCGGAAAGCGTCTGGCAACTCGCCGTGGACACACAAGCGGCCTGAGTTGCGCGACTACAGAAAACGTAAAACACCCAGAGATCTCGTGCGAGCACCTTGCTGAAGAAGTACATCGAATAAAACTGTGTGATGTGGATGTTTCAACACATATATCGAAAATGGACACAGAGTGCAGCGTCTCGGTCCAAAAGAGCAGAAAAATGCACAAGATAGGTGGACAGACACGAAACAAACCATTACTCACCAATAAGTTCAAGCGTACTGCGTAAAACATCTGAAAATAAAGAATGGAACATTCGTGATAAGCAAATTCGATCTAATGTGGCAGAATGTAATCGCTAACGAGGTAACAAAAACTGCTCTGTCAAATAATAAACAGGGTGAGAGAAAGTGAAGTGGAAACGCCTTCAATGAAATCCACAACCAACCAAGCACACACACACACACAATGGATGCAGCGGCATGGCAGTATGATTGAGTGATGTAAAAAAACCTGTTGTGAACGGGCGGTCGGAAAATAGCGTCAATTTGAAAAACAGGAGGGACTGAATAAATGCCACTTGCCAAAATCACCACAACGTGTGCTGTGCTCTGTCACCGGTTCCGAGTAAGCGTTCAATTGAAGAATATGCAGAGTTTAGTTAAAACAGGCTGCTAATCCAAGAGTTAGATAAGGTGCAGGCGGTAATGCACCGGTAAAAATAGCGCGTACGATGATCAAAAACAGGGACAGGTGCAGACACACCACAGTGTGCACCTGAGTCGAAAAAATAGAGAGGAGTTAACGACCAAGGAGGAATCGGAAGTGCACTAGCTGCATAAACGAAAGACTAACCAGACCAAAAGTACAAAGGATTAAGTTCCAAGAGACTGAGGGAGCAAAGCGGAGAGAAGAGTTGGTTGACAGAACAAGCAAGCAGTAAAAATGACGGAACAAATTGACACGAACAGGACAGAGAGTAAACAGAAAAAGACTCGACTTTGTGGTTAAAGCCATGGGAGTTGACCAGATACAACAGTATAGGCTTTAAAGAATATCATGCGAATGCGCACCCTTCAAATAGAAATAGCAGAAGTAGGTTGAGTGAAATGCGATGAACAAGATGGCTGGTCAAAGAGGGCATTCACTACATTGTTGGGACATGGGCAATGCTCCGCAATATTCCACCAGTCAGGCTGCCTGCTGAATGATAAATGAAGGAATGGTTGTACCAACGTTTCTGTTGTGCAAAAGCAATTAAATGTTTTCAAGGATGTGGACAGCAATTCACTGCGCTGCCTCCGTGGATTTATTACGATCCCCAAACAATTATATATATATATATATATATATATATATATATATATATATATATATATATTGATATACTCATGAGTAGGGAATTCTGTTATAAGTAATGGAGGTTCTTCGCAGCCAGCTTCCAAACCAGATAGTCGTCCACATGCCTGGAAAAGCACTAGACTGCAGTTTCAGCCGGTTGGGCATCGTCAGTAGTGCGCATCCATCGGATCAATCAGGGTTCGTACCCATGATCACCAGCGGCTTGAACCGCCAGTCACCAGCTTATGCCATTTGGCTAAGGGGGAAAGCTTCGGATCGTGATGATTTACAAGCCAACTGCGACGTAACGTGTCTTATCCTCCACTGCCATGCAAGTTACGAACGTTGCAGAGGACAGGGTTGGCCCCGGAAGACATAACGTTCCCCGTGGCCCAGTGGCATAAGTTGCTGACTGGCGGTGCAAGCCGCTAGTGGTCATGGGTTCGAATCCAGAGGGATCCGATGGATGCGCAACAAGCTGAAACTGCAGTCTAGTGCTTTTCCGAGCATTTGGACGACTATCTGATTTGGAAGCCGGTTGCGTAGAACCTCAATTATATATATATATATATATATATATATATATATATATCTGCACACAAAGTTTTGTTGGCAGCCGTTCACTGGTCAGCAACAGCCGTTCCTACAATTTTTCATTTATCAAAACAGAGTATCTAGTTAAATCAGCAGACCAACTTTTGGCCGAGTCATGCGCATATTAGACCATAGCACAGATAGCCATTGCAACAAGCACTAGCTGTTTATGACAAGATGCGGGCATTACATAAAGGAATCCATCAACTTAATACGATTTTTTATTTGAACTTCGCGCGGCAGACTAGTGGAACGCTACCGGTAATGCTCTGGTTAATCTGTGTGAATGGTGTGGAAAACAATATCAGTAAATATAGATAGACAACAGAGCACGCACCACCTCCTGCGCTGACCGTTGGTGGGGATGAACTAGAAGTCGTATAAAAATTCAACTAGCTGGGAAGTTGTATCAGGGCCCTCGGGATCGAAGACGAGACCACGAATCGTATAACAAAGCTTACGGTCTTTAAGATCGGAATGACCGAGGTCCACCTCAAGTGAACCGAGGTCTAAATAGAGGTTGCTTGTAGCAACCCAAGCATACAGCGCATTCTCCAAGTTCACCTCTGAATTCGTTTCCGCTGGACCAAGCGTTGCTCGCGGATCTCAGTGGCATAGTGCTCATGGTGTCAACCATGAGCCACTAGGCTCTGAGTTCCAGCCCAACTCAGGCTATCTCCAACTGATGAGTCCCAACCAGGACGAAACCGCGGTCTTGGGGTGCCAGTGTTGGGATGAGCAACACTATAAAAATGTTTTATTTACTTACGGTCTTTAAGATCGGAATGACCGAGGTCCACCTCAAGTGAACCGAGGTCTCAAAAGAGGTTGCTTTTAGCAACCCAAGCACCAGCGGATTCTCCAAGTCCACCTTTAAAGCTCGATGTGCTTTAGCTAACCATCGCCACCTACGGCGCCGGCGCGACATCACCCTGTCCTTGAAGGGTAGCGGGTACAATGCAGCCCCGGTGCAAACCTCATTTACGGTTATGAGACCTGGCCCGTTAGATCGACAGATGTAAAGAGGCTAGTTAACTTCAGTCACCAGTGCTCTCGCAGTCTGGCTCACATCTGGTGGAAACACTGCGCAAGCAATGTGCGTATTCGACGCCTTGTTTATTGCACATGAATAGGCCCAGATGGCTGGGTTACGTGTTGCGCATGCCATCCTACCGACTCCTGCGACGTGCGTTGTTTGCGCGCCGGGGTTGTGGATGGAAGAAGATGAAAGGTAGCCAAGGGATGACTTGATAAAGAGAAATGAAGGCTCTTAGTTCCAAGTTGGCCTCGGTGTGAGCGTCTTGCCTCCGTGGCTGGAGTCCGAAAGACGATGAATAAGTTTGGCTGGATACACTTGTTGACAAGGCTTAGTGGCGTACCTGCTTTGAGTTTCTTTGTCCCCTCTCATTCTCCTTAGCCTCCCCCTCCAACCACGATCTCATTTCTTAGCATATGCTTTTGCACAGTAATATTTTTGCTTGATAGTAGCCGGCAGATAGCTTTTCGGAGCGATGCACATCCATTACTGGCAGCTCAGCTGGTCTGCACCTGTTGTACATTTTTTATTTTATTTGCTTACGTATTGTGGCATAGTAGATGATGGGTTTTCCACCTCTAGTTAAAGTACATAGCAACAATAACGATAATAATAATACTAACAAGATAGGCATCAGCAGTACGCCAGTGCGTCGTACCGCACGCCCACTACTAGTCGCGGGTGGTCGACTGAGGAGAAGGCGAGACCGTCTACACCAGCACAGCACGGAACTGGTGACCTAAGGAATACAAGTTAGATGTCATGTCCACCACTTGGCCACTGGCCGACATTCTCATCTTGTATATAGTGACTCAACTTGCATCGAGGCTAGGCTAGTTCGATTACTCTAAGCCAAGGGAGGTCCTGCGCAAACAGTGTGAACAGTGACGAACCCGGTTGTTAAGTCTGTGGTTAAGAATGAGTAACCCAGAAAATATCTGCGTTTCGGATGCGATTCGATTAAAATTTAAACGAGGTCACAACAAAGCTTGCATGTCGCAATACAACCACACAGCGGATACTTTAAACCTAATGCCAAATTCCTTACTCCTGTGCCAACTGTTGCTCACTGATCTCAGTGGTTTAATGCTCAAGATGTCAGCGGTCAACCATTAGGCTAAAAAATCCACTCTCAGCTCAGGCTTCTGTATGAGCCCAAAGGAGGACGAAACGGGTCGTGGGGTAGCCCTGTTGGGAGAATGAAAAACGGAAACACCTCCACTTCCGATACGGTCCTGGTGAGCAGAATGACCGAAATCAACTTCAAAGTAAACCTAGAACATAATGGATATTGGGTATCACAATTCAAACACATATCCGGTACTCTGAACCCAACTTTGAATTCTCAACAGCTATGTCAATCTGAGTGTTAGCGAATCTCGTGACTCCAGGAGACCAGTCCTGTCCTCTGCATCGTTCGTAACTTGTACGACAGTGGAGGATGAGTCGCGCTATATCGCAGCTGGCTTGGAAGTCACGACAGTCCACCGCTTGGCTTAGTGGCATATGCTGCTGGGGCCGAGGGATGCGCACTATTCTTGAGCTCAGTTAAAACGAAACGGACGTGAGCGCTTCACGAGTGTGTGGAAGATAACCTGAGATGAAATTTACTCAGGATAATTATCAATAAATTTACCGTGGAGGTTAACAGTATGAGTGCATTAGTGGAAGGACGGAAAGTCCGTCAGGTGCCAGGTAGGACACAGAAGCGCGGTTTGGGATAGCGTTGAAATGGGGAAAGTGAAAGTGGCAAGAAGGAGAGGTATATACACAAATAGTTCATATTCCGCGAAAACTAATTTATCCAAAGAGAAGCCGGCGGTCCATCCTACATAGAAGAGAAAAGTAAGGAAACGATCAACGCAATACTGCGTGAGCAGTCGGATTCGAATCAGAAGCAGTGGAAATATGAGCAAGGTAATCGAGGATAAAGACACGCCGGAGTATCCAAAGAAGAATTGAAGATGGCGTATCTATAGAAGTAAACCGCGCAGGAAACAACATTCTCAAATCACATGGTTTACACCTTCAGGTACCAGTGGTAAACTTGTGTGTTTGTTGAGAGTAAAAAAATTTCCCACACAAATCGACAAAACATACGCGATGGCTCGTGTCTCACTGACTGAATGGTTCGTTTGGTTGATCCGCCACTATTGTCTGTGCGCATCCTGTACTTAAGCAGAGGTGATCAGTTTCAGCGTTGAGCATACGAACATCTGCTTTATAAAGTAAAGTAAACGTAGACTGGCGCAAAGCCCAAGGTGGGCAAAAGTTAATTTGGTAGCAGGAAATGAAGTCACTGACGAGCAAACTGCGTATCGTCGGTCCGTCTCGCCTTCCAGCCT